GGCTGCCCCAAACAATACAGCATTTCCAAAATTTGGGAAAAAGTGTTCACAATGCCCCAAGGGCATTCACAGAGGTTAAAACAAATGAGCCAGACAGTACTCCATGGGCAGGTTCCACATCTCTAGAAAAGTTAATAACACTCTGAACAGCAAAAAAGGGAAAGAATCACCGAGAAGGCCAGTAGACTCTTATTAGGAGTCACAGCTTAATTCTACCAAATAGGTCCAAATCATTTAGCAATCAATGGCCTCTTTAGAGGGATTTCTGTGTGGTAGAGCCTCCATGATCACCCCTCCCAGACCCAAGTTGGATGACTCAGAACAGGAGAGGGCTGATTACGTGAGCAGAAGGCTGGTTATGTAAACAGAAGGTAGGTGGCTTAACAACCTTGCTCTTGTCACCAAGTGTCAGCCAAGAGAACTGCGTGTTACTGCAGAACTGAAGCACATGTCAATGCACTGGAACACAGCCGGATGTTTTCCACTTCCCCTGATTTGAAGAAGGCACTACAGTGTTTTTAATTTTGCTGGTTCAGATGGAACAGAATAGGCTCGGAGCCTGTGGCCTGCAGCACCTCACCTGCCTTGCCTAACCAAGACCATGTTCACTGCTGAAGAGTCAGGAGGGGAAAATGAAGAATAAAAATTGAGCAATTATTGCTTACACCACTCCAGCTCCAGTGGAGTTGGGGGCTGTGTCTGGAGGTGCTTCACAGCCCAGCATCCTGAGTACACATGCTTCTTAGCTTATTCTTCAACATTAGCAAGCTTTCCAAAATGCTGCTCCAGCTTTCCAAGATACGCATTAAAAAAAAAAACAAAAAGGCAGCTTAAGAAACCACACTGAGCCTCTCTCAGGTCAGTGCTTTGTAATTTTCGCAAGTAACAGGTTAGGCTGACCTAACTACAAATGAGAAAGATACATCACAGCTGGGTGTCTTAACCAGTCTGGAAACCTTTGCCAGCATTCTTCAGCCCTTCCAAACAGGCTATTATTTTTCACTGTGTTTCTACCTTTTTCCACCTACCAATGAAAAGGAGAAAACAATGTGCCTACTCATCCCACTACTACGCATCAGAGGTGCATTCCTGCTTCCTCACTTCAACCTGCAGAGATGTCTCCCTTTCAGCACAGCTATTTTCAGAGCCTATTTACTGTTCCATTCAAGCCTAGGCTTTCTAATTTCACAGCCTAATCTGCAGTTCAGCCACCCATGAAACAACCAAACAGCTTGCAAACCCACACCGCAGCTCCTGCTGCCTGATCTCAGGTGTGATCACCAGTGCTGCTACAGGAGCTGCAGAAAAATACTTTCCGCCCCCACCTCCTTCTTAAATGTAATTAACACCATCATCCCAGCTTCTGCTCGGGGTAATGACAGCTTCTGCACCCCCAGGCCCAGAAAACACCTAAAGGGAGGTGAGAAGAGACTGCCAGGCACATCTTGCTGGCAGCAGGATCTTTGCCCTGCCCTTGGAGGAACGGGGACATTTTCCCCACACAACGACTGATGCCAGCACAGCCTTGGCAGTGGCACGGGTGCAAACCTCCTGCTTGCAGCCCTGCCAGCTCCTGCATCAGCACATGCGGGTTGTGAAACCCACAGCCCTAGGGAAGTGCAGTATGAGGCCATAGCAATATCCCCGCCAGGCTAGAGGGACCCAGCAGCACACCCTTCATGCTCTCCAGAGTCATGTTTGCTGCTGACTCCTGTGGTTTCCACATCTGCTGAGCATACTTTGTCCCACAGGGCTGGAAGCCAGAGAATAGAGCTATCTGTGGGGAGAGGCACACCTTCACCAGCTGTAAAGCCTGCAGGCGTCAGCTGAGACAGCACTCAGACACACCCGCCACTGCTCAGGGTTGTTCCCCTTTGCCTCCCTTTCAAGACCAATTCCTCCTAGGCCCAGCCACAGCTCTTTCCATCCCAATGGGTCAATCCGAAGCTCCCCACCTTCAGCCAGGCAGCAGGCTACAACACCCCACACCCAGCTGATGAGAGATGCCCACCCTGCTGTCTCTGCACTCTCCTACTCAGCCAACACGGCCACTGAACCAGCAACCCAAGTTCCGTGCATCAGGCTGTAGTGACAGCACACTGGGCAGAAGAGGTGGTAAGCACCATCATGAAACAAAAGCCTCTCAAAATCTGCCTGTTTCATAGAATTGTAGTTTATTCAGGTGAGAAGAACCATCTCCCTCTTATTCTCCCAAACAAGGCGACAAATGCAGCACTGAGAAGAAAAATCCCAGGTTCATTCCTCCTCTGTTTGCCCCATTCACAGCAAGTGCCAGTACCTGCGCACAGACCATCTCTTCCTGAAGGTTCACCAGAAGTTTCATCTGAAATCTTTCCCAGCAAAAGTTTAATAAATAAATAAAAAAACCCTAAAACAACTGCATGACAACTTTTCATCTTAGCTAAAGAAACAGATTTGTTAAGTCCTGAGCAGCAAGATGCTGTGCAGAATCACAGAATTATTCAGGTTGGAAAATATCTTTAAAGTCATCAAGTCCAACCATCACACAACACTACCAGGTTTACCACTAAACCATATTCATAAGCACCACATCCACACATCTCTTAAATCCTCCAGGGATGCAGACTCCACCACCTATTCCAATATCTAAACACACTTTCCAGGAACAAATTCTTCCCAATACCCAATCTAAACCTCTGCTGGTGAACACGAGGCCATTTCCACACATCCTGTCACATTTGTCACCTAAGAAAACAGGCCAAACAGGATCTTGCTGCAGCCTCCTTTCCCATGTGCACAGCCTACAAGAAGCCAACTCACAGCACTGCTGAAGCCAGCCTGCAGTGGCACAGGAGGCAAGGCCTTGTCCCAGGGCTTGCTCAGCACACTGGCAGGGACCCAGGAAAACCACATCAGGCTGTTGAGCAGAGCACGGCGTAAATGGTGAAGGCAACTCAAGTTCAGCAGCAGCATGTTCTAAGGCAGCACTTTGGTGCTATTCCCACTCCTAGAGCATCAGGATGGTTACTTACAATTTTCCTGAGGTGGGCCGTAAATCCAAGCATAGCCAGCGAGCTCGACACAGTGCAAAGAGGATCTCTGTGGCAGACTAATTACCATTGCAGGCTGTACAACCCTGTAGAGTTTTCTTCTGCACAGCAGCATCAGAAACTTCAGCTGGTGACTCTCTGGCTGAATAAACTTTCTACTTTCTATTGTTCTGCTCAGGGCAACCAAGTGAGAATTCTGGGGCCCAAAGCTTCGGTGGAAGAAACCAAAACCAGTAACAGAGAAAAGGGGCTATGAAACAGAAGAGGACTCCACAGAAGGTTGCAATCCCTATGCAGACACACACCCACTTGCAATGAGCAAACTTACATAAGCAGTTACAAGCAAACTCTTCAATTATGGTGGAGGGTGGGCCTGAAATCAAATTCAAGCCCTTGATCTGAACCAAACAGAGCATGGACTAACCCTGCTCTTCCATTGTTTTTGAATGGGACCTTGTCTGGCAAACTACTCCAACAACACAGACTCTCTCAGGTTCATAATGGAATTTTTATATATATCCCAACAAAAATTTTCAGTTGCAATGACTCTCTTAACAAATTTTAAAAAGCCCAACTACAAAGCAACCAAGAAAAAACATACTTCAATGAGCAGTGAAAAATCCAAACTACTTCAAATTTCAGCTGAATATCCTACTGTCCTTGATCTTTCTTCACAGCCAAGATCATGAAGAGCATTTGGAGTCAACCACAGCAGGACAGCAGAGATTAGGTTTGATGCTAGTTATGCTTCAGCAACAACTTTGTCTACATTGGTATCTTCCATTCTAGCAAGTTCTCTAGGGTCACCAAGTAAAAGGGTTAATGAAGTTTCACTGGTATTATATACAGTGTTGGGGGGGTAAACAAAAGAAGATTTCATGTCTTCAATAATAGTTTTATTTTTTGAGGAAGAATTCTTGCTAGGAATTACAGAATCACAGAATTGTAGGGGCTGGAAGGGACCATCTAGTCCAACCTCACTGCCAAAGTGGGATTAAATCACTGAAGGCAAGAGAAGCAAAGTAAAAAAAGTGAAACTCTCTTGGGTACTGTACTGTCTACTACGAAGAGGTGCAAAAGAATAAACTGTTGTGTATTCTAGTCAGGTTCTTTTCCCCATGGCACAGTCTCAAAACGCAAAAACAAATACTGTAGAGCTTAATACTCCACACAGAGTGAGGATGCTGCAGTATCTATAACCCATAAGGATTTAACATCTATGGTAGGAAGTGAATAAAATTTTATGAAGATTTGTACAGCAAGTCCCAGGATATATTTAGGCAATACTTTTCCAGAGCCATAATAAAAGGGGGGAAATGATGTATTTTTTCTCAGGTGGCGTACTACCCATTTATCACAAACAGCAAAGGAAGCACAAGCACACAGAGCTCCCTGGAGTGCATCCCAGTGACACATTCAGGGCTGGCAGCACCACACGTGCACCCTCTGAAGGCACAGCCTCTGGAGAGGGCTTCCATATATTCTGACAACAAGTTTACCAGGCATCGCCCCTAGACATTATGAGTACACAGATATTTCTCATAGGCTTTCCTTCAGTATTCTCTCAGATTTTATCCCCCTTGAAATAATACTCAAAAACACAAGAACAAGAACTATAAAGAATCAAGAAGCCTTGATAAGAAGACATCGGGCTCCTCATCTCACGTATTTCTGTTGTACTTCACAATCCAAGGCAGGGACAAGAGACCTCTTAGCTGCAAGTAGCAGGGCAATTTTTGGAATAGTTCCAGATAAGAGAAATGTAGAGTCTGCTACTGAACTTAGCATTGCTTTGTACCAATCTAAAGAGATAGCTGCAAAAACCCCTACTTTGTTATTAAAACACAGGCTGAAGCTTTTTTCAAAGGCTATGATTCAGAATTGTTTGCTTGTAGGGAAGCAGGATGCCCCAGAACAGCTACATACTCTGTAAACATACATTTGGATGGGCTGTAAAGGTATACTCACGCAGTGCGTACAGGGAGAGGACTATTCCAGCCAGGCAAAACCCCTCAAAAAACCTGAGTGTGCTGAACATTGTCACATTCACTGAGAGTGCCACAGACAGTCCAAATATCAAAATGAATATGACAGAGAAGAGCAGTATGGGCCGTCGACCAACCCTAAAAATAAGAAAGGAAGTAGAGAGAAATAGTGTTAAAAACCAGTAATACTCCAGCATTACAAAGAGCACAAATCATGCAATGCCTTCTAAATATTCCCACTCGTTTTTGATGCTTGTTCTATCTTCCCCACCCTCCTGCTTACTAAAAACCACTTGATTCTTCAGTCAGCTTTGCATTGACAGATTAACTTCAGGTGGGATTAAGCAGGGTCACCATGTGATTTGTTACCTCTTGACTAAAACACAGTTGACCAATTGCACATCACCAACAGTGAACAAGGAAGCTACTAGGAGCTACAACAGAACCATAAACAAATGTCTTGGAGATCAAAAACAGCTTCTCAGAGCTTTCAATAGCAGATGAGATGGTTTTATATTATACATGTTACATGATAGCATTTATTATTTCCCTACAGCCACAGAGCTTATTGCAAAGGTCTCTTCTTCCCAACAGACATGCTTTCTAGCCTCCTCTGCAAGAGAGGCACGCTCAAAAGATCACTTTTCATAGCTTCATTATTAAGGACAAGCCTAAGCAACAGGGACTGGATGTAAGAATAGGGCTTGTGCTGCTTCCCTTATCCTCAGGCAGCTGATAGTAATGCCTGCAGAAAAACGGTGAGCTCCACTCTTTCATTCACATCACATCCCCACAGTGGCTGAAAAGACCCACAAAACCAGCTGAGGAGGGAGAAAAGGAGGAAGAAACCACTCCAAAGCAGACACTGGCAACTGAGGTGTAAGCATTTGCAGCCCTTCTTGGCAGAGAAGATTTTCAGCTGCAGGTGCCAATGAGGAACTATGCTGCTATCAAACACAGGGCACCTGCTGCAGAAGTCAGCTCCTATGCAAAGCCTCATATTCCTTTCATATGTCTCACATGCTCACTGTTCATAACTCCCCTTCCACCCCTCCCCCCTCCTGTGCAAGGCTGGTAATCTGAAGCACCAAAGCACGCTGCTATTTTTAAGCAAAAATTGGATCGTTATGTGGAGATTTCCAAAATTTTTCAACTTGTCAACTCCCACAAGTTTTCCAGTGGAACTGAGGATTTCTTTCAGTCAGCTCCATATGCCATTTCCACAAAGAATATATGAACTTGCTTTTCGTAGGCAGCTTTCGCAGACCCATTCAAAGCAGACTGTCAGCTGCAAGCCAGCTATCTGGCTGAATGTCAGCGCAATAAAGAGCATATAAACATCACTACCTAATCCAGTTTCACATACTGAAGTGTTTCGAGTCAATTATTTGATTGTTACCAGCAGCTGTAAAGTGTATTTCATACATGCAGTCACAACTAAAACGTTGGATTTTTCTTGAAAATGGAACAAGATCAACGAAATAGAGGACAAAAGGATGGAAAAGAGATATTGTATTTGATGCCTTTGGAAACTGGAAAAGCAAACCAGTAATTGCACTTTTTCAAAGTACACCAGAGATTATGATATTAAACAGGTTTTTGGGTTTTGATTTTATTATTTTTTTTTTTCCCTCCAACTGCAGCATCAACTGCAGGGTACTTCACTAAGACTTAACTCATTGGCACCAAACATTCCATGTTTATAAAACATTGGTCATCCTGTGTGGAGCCAGGAGCTGGGACTCGAGGATCCATATGGGTCCCTTCCAACTCAACATATTCTACCCTATGAAAGCAGCAAAGTACCAGGGAGCAGGCTGGACACTACAAGGTCAGAGCAGACGGTTCTTCATCAGGGTGCAAACGTAGCTAGTGAGAGATGAGCCTCAGGGTGAGCTTTTTTTTCCCCCCTCAGTGATATGCAATGTGCTGGGAGCATGGTGGACACGGTGGCAGTTGCTGATGCCTGTGCTTTACATTTTGTGCTTATGGGGCACACAGCACTTGGGCAGGGAGGGAAAGTACCTCATACCAAGCCTTGAATACGAAAACCACGAACTCTGTGTTATTAGTGATGTGCACAGAATTTCACAGCCTGGTTTTCGTAACAGTTAAGCGGCAATTCATACTAATTAGTATTTGTGGAAGCGTTTTATAGATGAAAGGCATTAGGCAAGCCCTCGGAATTAGGAGTTTAATTCTCATCACAAGCCTGACCTGCTATTTCCTGATGCTGATTAAAAAAGGCTCCATGCTTCACAGACACCAGTTCCCTTCCTCTCCTCCCCCTATCCTCTTTATTTGAGGTTACCCATCATTAGGGCTTGGAATTTCTCCTACCATTATACAAATTATGTAAATGAATGTTTGCTGCTAACAAAGAATCGGGAAATCCTCCTGGGCTTCTGAAAGCCCCGTGCCCCTTAGTACCACTTCCCAGGGACAAAGCTAGCATTTCTCCTCATCCCACAATTCATTACATTCCTCAAAAAATAAAAATAAAAATCAGAACTGCAGGGCAGCTATCAGCCACATCGCTGGTGATCCAGCAGCGTTTTGACAGGATGCTGTCTTAAAAGTATATAAAGCCTTTTATGTGTAGACAGAGTTATTTGACTAACACTGCATAGAAATGCTTGTAAGAGATTAAACCATACACAACCTCCCTTGTAAAACAGCCCAGGGATGCTATCTGCTGCCATCCACGCTACTTCAGAGAGAGATTTCCATGCCACAGTCTCAGCCTACATCGCATCTTATTATCTATATCAGATGTTAAATTCTGCCTACACAGGTAAATAACTAGGAATACAAGCAGCCACAGGCTTCTGATCAACCTGCAACCCACACAGAGTGATATGCAGATGCATCAAACAGATACTTCCAGTGTCACCAGAGGTGCAGGGCAAAAGGCAAATGTTTTGAGGACAGGACCTGTCCTTCCCATGCTCTTATGCATGTGCCTTGCCACCCTTGAGAAGACTGGTCCTTCAGCCAATCTGATTATTCTTCCTGTGCCATTCTTTGCAGGCTCTCTAAGTTTTGGGATTTGAATTGACACAAAGGCTCCAAGGAGTACCAGGGCAGGGCAGGAAGAGGCACAGGCTTTCTGTCTCGATGCCACACAGCCACCAAGGGTGCCTGCTCCAGAGGGACCCTTCCACAGAAACCTCTACAGCTCCTGTTCTGAGACGAGAGTGCCAGCAGCACCCTGCCCAAACAGGCAGCTTACTCAGCCTTTGGACACTGCTCGCTTTTACACGGCCTAACAAGTTTGCAGATCTTCCTCCTATGGATTTATCACACACAGCTACTGAAGCTTGCACACCACCTACTGTATATTGATTACAGACCACTCGGTCCACTTAGCAAATTGTCATAGTGCATACTATGCTTTGGCCACGTGCAGCTTCAAAAACCTTTCAAAAAGGAAAAGAAAAGCTCCAGATCTTATGGGCTTAAAACAAACAAAACTAAACACCAAAAAATCCAAAACAAAATACACACTCCACAACCAAACAGCAATAAAACAACCAATCTAAACCCAACACCCAAAGCCTCCTCTGATTACCTAAACTAGATAGTGATATACAGGTGAAACGAGGATTTTGAAAGATTATAGCACTTCTGTATATCAATCTGGCATATCTTGCCTGCTCTTGTTTGGATTGACTTAAAAAATTCTCACAAGTACAATCCCCTTTGTATTTGTCTTTCCACACAACCCCCAATCTCAGAAGAAATTCAAACAGTGATTGAATAACAAAGCAAATACTGTTTAGGTGCTCTTTCAGTAGCACCACTGCCACTACCAAATGAAAAAGGACTATCTCAGTGCAGGACTACCTTGCTGCATCAGTTACATTAGATGGCAATGGAGATGGGGGAGAGGAGGAAGACAGGGATCAGTTCTGGTGGCAGCCAGAGCAATGCAATGCTTGCAAAAGGACAAAGGGTGCACTCTTCCCCCAGTTACCAAATTACCCTTTTCTCCATAGCATTACATCTGTCAAACTGTTTGTCCTTAAACTCATAATCTCACTGTAGGGAAAACACAGAAAAAGAACGTGGTAGAGAAAACTACACACTAAGGAAAGAAATGGATGGCAGAACTGGGCACTCCTTTCTCAGAGAGCTATTAAATCTGCTTACTGCATCTCTCCCTTGCAGCCAGTGCTTTAGGCAACAAGTTGCTCACTTATTTGTGACTGACTTGTCAATTACAGCAGCATATCCCTAGCTTGGCAGTAAGTCTGCTTCCTCCATACAAACTCCTATTTTGGAAAAACAAAAGAGAACTCTCATTTGTTTCCCTACTATACTTTCTACATGTTGTTACAGCCCTGTTTTACTTCAGCATTTTAATCAAATTCAATTGTATTTAACCATGCCTGTTCCCTGCTTCACTGAGAAGTCATAATTCCTCACTTGCCTAAAAGCATGTAATGACTGTTCAAGAAAAAGGTGTAGTTTTGCTATAAAAGTTTGAGATGCATTGCAGCACAGCTGCAGGGAGCCTTTTCTCAACTCATTGACTGATGAGCCATCGCTGGGGCTTTTTAGAATTTCCATACTAAGCAACTCCTTCCCTTCCTGGTTTAGCAAACATTGGAATAGTTAACTTGGGGCCATCTAAAGCACTGACATTGGCAACTGTGCTGGAAGCCACTGAAATGACTGGGACGGCATCACAGCTATTGTTTCAGATTCAGCAAGTTTCTATTTAAATCACTTGAATCAGGGCTTTAATTTTCTTCCCCTTCTCCTGCACTACAAGACCCTCTTTTTGCATAAAAACTGAACTTTCTGAACAATTAGGGAACCTCAATGTTTTCAGTACTGTAATTTAAGGAACTGCATTTTATGTGTTTAACATCCCAATATCAACAGCACATAAATCTGAGACTCCTTAACGCTAATTCAGAATGTTTGCTTAACAACAACTTTAAAAATGGAACGTTGAAAGGTTTGCAACAGTCTTTTACCACTCTTAAAAGTCACTGTATAAGCACAGGGTTGACATTACACAACTCTCTTGTATTAAGTCAAATCACTGCTGCTCTCAACTTCTTTTTACCTTATCTCCTAGTTCAGAAGAAGAAAAAAGAAAACCCTAAACCAAACACTTCACTTATATGATTAACAAATACATAGTTACGCACCAGCTCTACAGCTGTAATAAATTGTGCCAGCAGGAAATAACTAAGTCAACTATCAAATAGCTTATTTTCTTGTTATTTACCTTGGAGCACATTACTCAGTTCAAGCAATTAACAAACAGTTTTAAACTGTTCGTCACATTCTTTTCAGAACGTGAACATCATGAAGCAAAGGTTCTTTATGAAGTAGATAAAAATCTAAGCAATATTTAATATTGACATTAATTAATTGATATACTGCATTAAAAGATACTGCACTTACCAGTCAGCTATACATCCTGTTATCAAGTGGCCGAAGATTAATCCTACAAGTAGGGAGAATTTTGCAATGTGGACTTTCCAGGCAGAATCACAAACAAGATCCCACTGGAAGAAAGACAGGTAAAACAAAATAAGTTGTGAAATTCTCACCTGCTTTTATAAGATACTAACACCAAAATAGACTGCTTTTCAAGCTTCATTCCTAGCATGAGTGACAGAAATTTATGCAGTTCTGTGTAACAGCAGGGGAAAGCTTTCCCCCTCAAATCAAGCCCCAGATCCCATGAAGTTCACATAAAGATTAATTTGATTAAGTTTAATCAGGTCCTTATTTACAGAACAGGAGCTCCCAGCACAGAAATCTCTCCATCCTTAGGCCACTTTTGTTTAGACACTATGGGACACAACCAGCACTACTGATATAATTAGGGCACACCACCATAACGTCCCCAAACACCTGCTGCTAGACAACCTGGAAGGGTGTTCTGCTACTGACTGATATGGCATCACTTGGATACAGCAGGAAAAGTAGCTCCTTTGCCACAAGATCCTGGTGGCTTCTGGTTTCAGGCTCCCAAAGGCAAAATGGGAAGATGTTTCTGCTGTCAGAAAAACATCCTGAGATGCGGAAGGTGACAAAGACTAATGATACGTCCTGTCAGACCAGCTCTTCATATTGAGACAGAGAGCTTTAGTACAGCAGCCTCCATCTCAGCTCATAAATCAGACAGGAGCCAAACTTTCATTCCAGAGCCATCCCTAATACCAAAAACACCCTTTTCATCCAAAAGAGCAAATGGACCACTCTGTGAGGCCCACACATTATCAGGGCACACCCACCTTTCCATGAGAAAGATAGGAAAAATAAAGGTCCTTAGCTTCCCTAACCTTCAAGACGTTTTCCTCTTAGGTTCGGACAAAAGCCGAAGAAGAGTCAGGCTGCATTGCTGGCTTCAGCCCAACATCCTCATTGCTCTCAGACAGGCAACTTAGTGTCTCTTGGGCGCAAAGTGCAGATAGCCTTATTGTATCCTTGGATAAATGTAGGAAGGTATGTTTGCTGGTGGTTTGTAAAGTGTTCAAATATCGATGGTAACAGTAGCCATACACATTTAATAAAAAACAAGTACAGCCAACTTTGGAGGATCAGATGCTCCAGAATTAAGACTTAACAGAACAAACAGCTGCTTGTGTATAATGTAATTGTAGTGGCTGTCCCAAAAATATTAACTGAAATCTAAGGGCCAATCATGCAAAATGAGAACATGAATTTGTTCTCAAAAGTCAGATGCAACTTCAAAACAAACCTTCCCTCAAAAGAGCTCAATTAGGTGCACTGCAGCATTAGGCATCTTCATGACATACAGCTCTGACTCATCCATTTGGTTCAACAGCACAGAAGATATCCTCCCCAAAATGTACCATCTCACCAAGAAGCACAGCACTTCTGTGCCTAAAAGAAATGTGCCAGCTTTTACACACTTTTAAACACTTGGGCTCAGGCTTTTGTTTTCATTAAATTTATTTTTGAGTTTGTCACTGTACTGGCTTGTCTGACTCTACACCATTCTGCAAGCTGCATACTGAAGGTACACAAAGCAACCAGAAGCAAGCGGTATGGGTATTTTTTTCCCCACCAAATAGCTATTGGCTATCTACAGCAAGCAGCTCAGCAAGGCAGTGAGAACTGCTCTTTGAAGCTCTTGACATCTTCAAAGTATTTTAGTAGGAATTACATTTCTTCCACTTAATATCTGCAATTATTAAGAATCAATTTTGAGTTTGCAACAAAAATGTCCAGGCAAACTGCAAACAAAACCACATTTAGGAGGTACCTCTGAGTTCCAGGCAAACTTTCAGAAGTCTCTGGGCTTATTTTCACAATCCAGAAGGGCTGTTTAGTGCTTAGAAATGAGAAATCCCTTAAATACAGATTACAAATTAAAGGCATTAAAGATAGCCATGTTTATACACAAGCACTTCCTAAAGACAATCTCAGTAAGTTGCTTATTTTTATCTTGTTACTGTCAGACGAGCAGTAACACCACAAAAAGAACCCGAGGCCCATTTACCCACAGGGCCTACCGCTGCCAGCCACAATGGCTGGCCACCACCAGAGCCCAGACAGGGAACGCAGCACGCCAGGCCAGGCGGAGGTGAAGGTTCATGGCTGGAGGAGAACAAGCTTCACAAAGGGCTGTTGTGAAATTCCAGGCCGGGACAACATGCCACACACTAAGTTGTCCACTTTAGCACACAGAGCAGGAGCTTAAAAACAGAAGAAAGGTTAAACTCTCAGCAAGCCCTTCAGTGATGCCCGGAGCGCACTTTCTGATAAGCTATCTGGGAACCACGTGTCTGTTTGCTCTCAAGGCTCTTGCCCAACTCCTCAGCCGCTCTGAAAGCAAAAACATCTACTTCCATGCTAATCTCATGGCTGGCCACTCGCTGCCTTCTGAAGGCTCCCTCTGCAGCCCAGCGTGAGTCAATTGAGAACAGAAGCATCTGTTTCTGGACATCATGGACATCATCTGAAACATCATGGACATCTGTCCATGAGAGCAGCATAATGGGGCACAGTCAGATGCAGCCATCAAGGCCTGCCTATACAGTGCGACCTACTACAAGCACCAGTGGCTTTGTCCTATAAAAAGGACAAGCAGGTTTGCTCCACAAACAAGCACAAGCTCCCATGTCTCTGCACACTGGGAAGGGCAGTTCAGATGGCACTCTAAGTAAACGTGCACCAGAATACTGTTTTGGCCAGAGACTAGACACTAATCTCCTATCAGCTCTTACAAAAGGCTGACTAATGTGCTTCAAGCAGGGAGACCAGTAAATCCTGAAGCTGCTCTGGCAGAAACCCACGGCCTCTCGCCCATTTGGGAATTACCAGTCCACAGCCTGAAGGAAGGGCGCTGGTAAATTCACAGTGAAGCCTGGGTTTTTCTATCTTCCATCCAGTGCAAAAGATGTGATAAAGTGATACGCTGAGGCAACACCCAGAGCTATACAAAACATGGCAAGGCATATAAAAAAAAAAAAAAAAAAAAAAAAGTAACTTCTTTAACAACGTACAGAATCTCACCTGAGCAGACATGCAATACATTGCAAGTGCTTTTTACATGCTGACAGCACTTTCTGTCAAAGCTTAAGGAGTCACACCTTTAGCATCCTGATGTTTAACTGATCTCTGTGAGTCACCACCCATGCAGAGAGTCAATGTGCTTCAAAAGCCAGAATTCAAGCCTGAGGACTGTTAGAAACATGCTTCAGAAGACACGTGGCAAAAATTAATGCACCTCAGATGTAACCATCCCATACATGAGATCGAAGTCTGAACAGGACTCACACAGCAAGCCCAGATTTGTTGTGAAATTAAGGCAAGTAAAATGCAAATGTAAAACCTGTTCCTTGCCTGTTTCCTTAGTCCCTGGAGAAGAGGTGCCACCCTGGGATCCCCAGCCTCTAAATGTTATGTACGCCACAGCCAGCTGGGGCACCCCAGACCCCTCTGGTGAGAAGCCCCATGCTGCTAAGCTGCATGGCAGTTTGGAAACAAGAATCAATTACATGTCACTGACACCTATTCCTGATTCATCACTTTATTACCAGACTTTGGTGGTTTTCCCTACATGGCTCTGGAACCCATCTTTTCTCTCCATTTCTATGTAAGCACCTTGTATAGTGAGAGTTTACGATGCCTTTGCATTCTCTCAGTATTTTTCCCAAAAATGTGAACCACAAAATTAATTAAAAAAAAAAAAAAATCCACAACAAATAAAACAAGCTACACAGAAAATAAGAATTATTTTAAAAGTGATTTTTTTTCATACCCTATATATAACAAAAAGCAAAACAATCCCCAGGTCCTTACTGTTGGAGGAAAAACTCCAAGTCAGTAGACCAAAGTACAACCAGAAAAACTGCAAATATACTCTTGGGGGGGGGGGGGGGGGGGGGGGGGGGGGGGGG